AGCAGGGAGGGTCCTGCACACAGCCCCTATTCAGCAGTTCCTGCTCCCTGTGGATTGGAAGACATCAGGGAGCTGCTGATAAAACTGGATGTCCCGTGGGGGGAAGCAAGAGAGATGGATGCTCAGTCACCAGAGCACAGTGGTAGCAGAGAGCAGGGATCCAGCCAGAGAGCCAGTGACAGAGGAGTCTCCACAAGGGTGCTCAGAGGAGCACCTGGTACAAGGTATTCAAACCCCAGGAGCAGAAGACAGGAGGTGTTATCATTAGAAACCCCAGCAAGGGTGAGCTTGGAGAGCAAGGAGTTCTTGCTCTTCAGTAACCCCTGAGACACCTGAGAAAAGCTGCAGGAGGACACCACACCAGTACACAGAGCAACAACCAGGGGTTGCAGTTTGCTGTTGCAGAGTGGTCAAATAGACTAAGTAAGGTACCTGAATGAATTGGTAAGGAGTGAATTTGATTTAATGTGATTGTGGGGACATGACTACTAGGAATAAGGAATTAAATGAACTGATTGGAGGCAAAACAGATATTTGTGAGAATTAATTTTATTTATCACAATGAATTAAGTTCATTTAATTGATTCAAGATTCGAATGCCTGGTTGGCCCCAAAGGAGGTCCCACCAAGATTAATTTAAGTTTGACACATTTAAAACTGATTAAATTGATAAACTGACACATTGGATGATTTAAGCCATAATCTATGTTAAGGAACGGTGTCCTAAGAGTATGCCACTAGCTGAAGACGAGACTGAGAGATGGTCACTGCATATGCTTGGAGACAAAGATCCGACAGTATCCAAACAACTGGCTGGCATGTGAAAAGGGAGGCAGAGCCCCGTAGTCAAGGCACCCGCAGAACCCATGCACAGACTCTCTAATAACAAGATACCTCCTTCGTACTGAGCAAGAACAAGACATGGCAGGTGAGAAGGGGAAGATCACTTCTAAGTGGGGAACGCGCTGGTGTCCCAAACTGTTGACTCTAAAGACCTGGTATTCCAGGGGCTTAGGCTGTCAAGCAGTCTGATGTGTGGTGCTGAGGGTAGGTCCTACACCCCCCCAAATTAAAAAAATAGCCAATAGGCTGTTATGCAATTTATTCCTTGATACTTATAGTTTTGTGGGAAAAAGTAACCAACCAAAGTGGGTTCACTCTTATTTATGTCTAGTTAATGTGTAATAAGATGTTGGTGTTCTCACTGAAGCTTTTATATTATTAATAAAAATATTATTTTAATAAAATCAACTGTCAGTCAGATCGATGTAAGTTGTCATCTCATAAGGTTTTTTGTTTTTTTGTTTTTAAACAAACCAAGCAAACTCTTGCAGGGTTAGTGCTCCACTTAGACGAGAGGCCCACTATAGAACATTTCAAAGTCTATGAACTATTAAATAGTACTCTCTCTCTTACTCATGAATCTCATGAATGAATTCCTAGAACAGCAATTGGAGTAGTAGGGGCAAAAAAACTATGAATGGAGCTTGACCAGTTGATAAAAGGAACTATATGATGTGGTATCTGCAGGAGCAGGTTACTGAACCGAGTGACCCAGAAGGTCCCTTCCAGCCCCACCCCTGCTGTAGTGATAGAAATTATGATTTGGAGATTCTCCCTAACTTGGAAAACTATGGAGGTGGGAAATTGGGAGTTGGTCCCTCAGGTTAGTTAGGTAGAGAGACTACAGAGGTTGCCTACTGCTCTTCAATTTAAAGTTTTTTTGGTTAGTTCTTTATCATGTAAGAGTGGTGTTGTATGCCTGCGATGGTCCAGAAGCTGTGAGGGGCAAGGACTTCTTAGGGTGATATCCTTTATTGGACCAACAGTGTAGTTGGGATAAAGTTAGACAAGCTTTTGAAGGTAAGAGTCTATCATGTCATGCTTAGTTCTTCTCATTCATTGTATGCCTGTTTTTATTGAACCCAGTGATCATTACCTCTATTTCATTCCTTGTAGAAAACTCATGCTTCATATGGGAAATAGGTTTAGTAGAATAAAAAACACATTGTCAACAAATAGTCACCATGTGCATGATTCTTGAATATGTGTCCAAAGATCTGTTTACCCTCCTAGGCTCTGTGAAAGGATCAAATACTGTTGTAGTCCTTGCACTGTCCTAAGTATAAGGGCTGTTCCATTGTTTGGCCTTGTCAACTTTTTACATCAGCAGAGAAGAGTATGATGCACCCTCCCCCACATACAAGATGAGCCACATGCATGTAGCTGTGTGTATGTGTCTGTGCGTGCATGTGTGCTCACATTACCTGTGCTCTTCTGTGGTGATCTGCAGAGGATGTAAGCTGTAAAATCACCCAGCTATGGAGTGTTGGCTCAAGCCATAGCAGCTTATATTTCTGGATCAGGAAGTTTCTGATTCAGTTACTTGTGCTTTGACTAAGGTGGTGGCTGTTGCACATTTTGTTCTCTGAGGAGGTCCAAACAACCATGTGAATCTGTACTGTAGAAGTGCTCTCTAGTCCCATGGATTCCTGTCTCCAGTCTCACTTTAGATAATTTGCTATGTTCTCTTTGTTTAATAAGGGAGCATCAGATGAGTATTGCAATTATGTTATGCTGTTCAATTTTTTCTAACACTATTGAATATATATATAAGGGGAACTACCATAATTAGAAACTGAAAAAAAAGTAGTCTCTGGGCAACCTTCTTTTTTGGTTGTAGCTCTGTATACTTGGGGAGTGGGGAGGGGAAGTTTAAAAGACTTGAATTTGGGGAGAAATTATGGGTCACTACTCTGGTATATCTTACTTTGGGACTATACATTGAAATATGGGCTTTGTGATATGAATATGAGCATGAGTGGATCTAGTGCATAATTCACAGAGGACATTTTGCCACTGGTCTCAGTGGGAGTACTAATCACTTTGGTTTAGCAGTGCACAATGAAACAGTAGACATCTCAGGAGAGAAATTAAAGGAAGGAAAAAAATAATTATCTTATGAGGGACTGGGGAATCCACAATTCCTAGTGTGTTCCAGTTTGCTGGGAGTTGAATATATTCATCCTGCCCCAGGCAGTACTCAGCATCTGATGATTAAAAAGGACCAATAATTCCAGTATAGAAAGTGATTCGCTGACCCTTCCCATAAGAGAGAGAATCCCTAGATTGAATGCCTAAGATAGTCAGCTCCAGAAAAGCAGCTTCAGACACTACAAGAAACTGCCAAAAGCTGTTCAGCTTCCTGAGATAGGTTGGTTTCCACAGGGCATAATGTCTCTTTCCTCATCAAATATTGGGCCATTTTGAAACATGATGATACTGCAGATGGAAAATAATGTGCAAGTATGGCTAAAGCAACAGATCTCGTGTACATTCTGACACTGGAATATTTCTTTAGTTATTGCAGCTGCTATGGTTACCAGTCCTACATTTAGCCATCTCCTATGGTAGAAGCACAGAGTAATTATTTCATACATTGCATGAAGCTAAAGCCAGATAGACCATGGGGGTGAGTAGTGGGTTGAATTTTCTTCCCATTACAGAAGGAGAAGGTTTGAAAGAAAGGAATCTGGGTGCTATTACTGACAAAATTCTTGTAAACAAAGTATGCAATTGATGGGGGTGGGGGGTTGGCTTTTCTACTAATTTTTAAAGAAAAAAATAAACACAACAGAGAGACAACCAAAATAATTATCTTTGGAAGTAACAGACATTAATACTGTCCTTTTAATTTTTTTTCTTTCATTGGAAATGGTGAATTAATGACCTTAGTAGTCTATGGCACTTAATGTATGAGATTTCACAGCCTGAGCAAAGAACTAACTCCATCGCCTGGTAATTATAGCATACTTTTGATGGACCAACAACTATAGGAAGGTTATATTGGTTCCAGTTAGATCTTTTGGGTCTTGTCCAGTTTTTCTCTCTCATGCCCCATTTCAAAATATAACCCTTCCTTTTGCTGAATTTGGGTGACTGTGCATCCGAAAAGAGTCATTATAATGCTGCTTTGTCATCCAGGAAAGATTTTAATCAATGTAACAAAAGTTTGGTCAGCTGCAGGAGGAAGCATCTATTTAGACATTTCCTGTGATATAATGCTTATTGCAATAGGCAAAAGGCAGGGTAGATTTGCACTTCTATAAACCAACTAAATTGGAGATGTATCTCCAATTCATTGTCTACAATTTAGTTGGTCTATAAAGGTGCAAATCTACCCTGCTTTCTGACTGACTTCAGACTAACGGAGGTAACAACTACCTCTCTGTCTCAATAAATAGAACATCTACTTCCCCAGTTGTGGCAAAGTCAGTCATTAAAAAACTGATCAGACTTGGAGCCCCAGATGGTTGGAGCAGCCTCCAGGGGGTCTAGAACTTTTTCAGGAGCCTCTTCTGCAACAGCCTGGCAAAAAGCAGCCTGACAATAGAAACCTCACAAGGTGTGGTAAGTCAACTGGGGGATGATTAAGGTGCTATTCCTTCTATACAAGATAGGGAGAAAATCAGAGTTTGTGGTACATGTTGTCAGGCCTCTGGGAAGATCAAAGGGTAGCTGGTATGGGCTAGAGAACCAGGAGACTAGGATCTTTAAAGGGCAAAGGAACCTACAGTAGTTCCTTAAAGAGAGGACATGGAAAAAAACCCTTATGCTCTTCTCAGTGTGCCTAATCACTACTCTTCAAAGTCTTGTTGGTACAAGGAGATCAGGATTTCAACTCTGAACCCTCACTGTAGCATTGCACGGAACAGACAAGATGGACAAATTGGTAGAAATGTATTTATTTGAGTCCTGGAGCACTCTGTGGTCCATAACTGGCTATAAGGCCCCTGAAAAGCATGCAGTAAGCTTTAACAGTTCTTCCTTGTCATAAATACCTTGCTGACTAGGTGCTTTCCTGACAAAGACCTACTTCCTCTCCAGGCAAGGATTCTGCTCCCAACTAGCTAGCTCTCCTCCATATACTATAGCATATTTTGGGCTGTTACCCACAAGTAGTCAACTCTGCAGAAGCAGGAGGCACTGAAGCAGCCACTTCAGTTTGAAGGCTGTTTGCAACTGCTGCTCCTGAGAGAGCCTTCTGGACCTACTAGTTTTCTTCCTGTCTCTGTCCCTCTGATACCCCACCTAGTTATGTCATCTCTTTCTTTCCATCCCTTTCTGCACTTCAGTAACCCTTCTTAGTTTTGTCTGTATGCTTATAGGGGATTTGCTGGTGGCTCATCAGTGGCTCCTGATGTATTTTGGAGTCACACTGGAAGTGTCTTGCTCTAAAAACTAAATGCTAATTGATGGCATCCTGTCTGTTTATGGAGAACTGTCACAGGTAGATTTCAAAAAGGTTTCCAAGGAATTTTAATCCAGGGTTCATAGAATTAAGTGATGGTGTTGGTAAAATAGCTTTTCAATGCAGCATGCTCCTAAACTTGATTGCCTGCAGCTGTTGATGAAGTCATGGTTTTCTCTGCTGTGCTCACATAGGATGACACCATTCCCTAACTCTTTCATCCATGTAGAAGATGGGGTGCTACTGGACTTCTGATCATTTCATCTTCATGCTGGTTTGCAAAAATGGGCCAGCATTTGTAAAACTTTGACACTAGCAGACCATTTACAATTTACATTGGTTTTGGACTGCAAAATCTGATTATTTTTATACTTACACTGGTGGTTTGTAGCTTTACCTCCTGGCCTTCAGCCTTTACCTGGGTTTAACTAGTTTCTGCTCTCGTGTTAAGCATTCCTTTATCTAAGTTCAACCAAAAGCCAGTGGCTTCTGTGAGCTTCATTGCTGCCTGGAGCATCGATAAGCCTTCCCTCAAGCTTCCTGAAGCCTCCTCAGCCCCACCTCATTCATATTTATCTTTTCCATTCATCAATAGGAAAAAAATGGTGCTTCACTTTCAGCTCAGCATGCCCTCACCCTGAGTGCAGCACATGTACAGAAGAGGCATTGTGTTAGCT